CTGCCTTCCTCCCTTCACTATGTAGCCAAGCTGTAGAACCTCTCTTTAACCCAGCCTCAGGGTTTATATTGGAGGCTGTCTAAAGGAGGAAGGGCTGTGATCCGCATCATATCCCCACTCCCTGTGTCCCACACAGAACAACCGTGAACTGGTATATTAGTGTTGAGGCTGGACAGAGCCTCTGGATGTCTATGTTTGTGTGACTTTGTGCCTGTATGTCTGTATGTCTGAGTCTTTGTGGTGGTAATTCATGTTAGCATGCCTACCAAAAATGCAGATACCACTTCACTAAGGTTTGGCCACGCCTGTATTAGAGTCTTTAGTTTTCACCAATGAGAAAAGCAGGTTATCACTGTTCACACTAGCTAAATGTAAAGCCTCTACTGTACACTAGCAATTATTAAAACTGTTTCTGTTCCTTTAATTGGCAAATTGATGCAGCATTTCACATAACCCAATTCTTGTATCTGTAAATTTGTGGTTTTGCTTTGAAGTGGCGTACTTGCCACAAATTACACAGACATATCTTATTTTGTGGCGAGTTTGAAGATTTTAGCCAAGAAATCATGTACGGGCCAGCTTGCTCTATTATCAGTCAGATAATAAGTAAACCTCCCGGATGTTTAAAGAGAAATACAATAGAAGCAAAAGTATTTTTTTTTTCTTATACTAGTTTTCATGCACACTAGTAAATTGATGTGACTACTTATAGCAGCCACTAGATGTCTCTCTGTATTTAGCATCAATATTTGTGGACAACAGACTGCAAAATACATGGTAATACTACTACCCATAATATCGATGGGCATTTGATTCCCATAATCCCTTGGAGGCTAATGTTTATCCAATATTATTTATGTTTGTAATTAGATCTGTTTTCACTTTTGTTACATATATGTTCTACTTAAATGTATTCTCACGCAAGACATGTAAGCCTAGAGTGCATGCACGCTGAACTGGCACAAACAAGGGAAGAGCACACATAGCCACACTCAAAGATGCACCTTGCACTTATACACACAGATAAGCAAAGCTAGATACACACACTAATACACACCGCCACACACACACACACACACTATCAGATGCATGCACACACATTCACACTGCCTAATACACACTTACACATACAGCTACACACTGTAAGATATATACATACTGCAGACACACAAACACACACAGGTGTACATTGCCAGATACACACAGAAATACACATGACACACAGATTCCCACTGATATATACACACATAAATACAAACACACACAGATATAAACTGCCACTCTCACAGGCGCACACATAAATACACTGTCATATACACTGGCACTCTTGCACAGACATACACTGACACACACATATGCACTGTACCAGAAACATACAGATACTGGCAGACATGCACACACACATGAACATGATTCAAAATGCACATACAGATTCATTCTACCAAATGCAAACACACATATACACATTTCCATATACAGATACAGATTAACAATGCCAGATACACACACAAGTGCACATAGATACACACACTGTCACTCACACATGCAAAAATATCTAAATCCAGCTTTATATTAGCCACACTCCTGCTTGCCACCTTTTTTGCTGTAAGGTTCCCTGGAGTCTAGTCAGAAGAAACCTCCCATCAGGCTATTAGATGGTCATTTCTGGCTAGGGGCCCATTTTTGTTTTCTAATCAACCCCTTCTAAGCGGAGGAATAGGTAGTAACATAAGGTGAGTAGAGTTACTCTATAAACTAGCGGAGCCCGTACCACAGCTACTGTCCATTTACACATAGCCCAGTTCACTGTTTAGAATAAAACACTAATATCAAGTTGTGTGTGTGGCATGGTACACCACACTCACATGTTAGAAAATGTTTTAATCAGGTAGAAAGAACTGAGCATTCTGGCCGTCTGATTGGCTGCCCTGAATGGCTGTCTTAGAGTTGCAGAGATTTTAACAAATCATATGAATTGAAGATTATGCTAGCTTTAGTGTACTAATAATCTTCATTTTACTAATGACAGGAGGCGAGTATTTTGCATTAACTTCCTTTACTACTCCAATAGCAGGGAAAAACATAGAAAAATAAATGACCAATAAGAGATAAGCATTGTATATAATAAGCCCCTCCCACTGAGGCTCTTCCTCTTGAAATAGCGACATCACAAGTCACAACGAATCATAACTCCGAACCAAGAAACGTCCAACAAGTTCTAACAAATAAGGATCGTCCTCTTAAAATCCAAATTACAGCCAGAATGCAGAAATCTCTTCTCGTGAATACTTCCTAATGCGGTGTTGCATTGTATGAAGCTGAAACGAGACTGAGAACGTTTTAGTGGTATAGCCAAAATCTTGAAAAAACATGAGTAACCACAGTCTGGCTAACTAGAAACATTACTTGTTAAATGTACTGAATATTCAATATCTAACTGACTAACACATCTATAGCATACTACAAGATAATAATAATAATAGACATACACCAGAAATGCAGCATACATGTGAATACATTTGGCAGTGAAAGTCAACTAAACAATTTAGCAAGGAGATAGCCAACCAAATGGGAAAAAGTTAAGTGTAAGCGAACGAACGCGCGTTTGAGAGATGTTTACCGAACGTTTAACGTAATGTGCGCATTCGGTAGGTGAATGGCTCGAATAAGCGAACGTTGTCGCACGATCTAGTGAACACGCTGTGCCACTGGAGCTCCCCAAAGTGGCAAGCGTAGCCATATAAGATGGGGAATATACTCAGATGGATTAAAACTGTCTGTATATTCCCTGAACAGTGTGAGGGGGAAAAAAGGCGGAAAAAAGGGTAGGGATAAACCTAGCCCAACAGTGCAGCCCAAGCAATAAGAATGCAGATAACCCCTAAATTCCCCACAAAAACACTTTTATATTAAAATAGTAATAATGACAAGACAAGCCAGTGAAAAATGTGAGACATACAATATTCTTACCTGACTTGTGATGGAGCAGCAAAGAAAGAGGAAGTGCCTCAGTGGGAGGACCTGGGCACCGCCATGTTTGTGTGGGCAGATGAAGTCCCTGTGGGCCCATTGTTTTTCAATATCACTTGAGACGAAATGCTGCAGATAGAAAGAGCAAACGATTTTGTAAAGCGAATTATTGATCACTGGGTCAGAAAACAATCTGACCAAAGGTACATAAAGATGTCTCCCAGAATGGAGGAGGGGAAAAGGCAGGGGCTGGATTTTCCAAAAATTTCAATATACATAAATACATTTTTTTTTCAAAAAAGAGATAAAATATCATAACATAAAGCCTATATCAGGATAATAAAAATAGTAATTTAGTGGGGGTTTTTTCCATTTGTTTTTCAGTTCCCTGCAATTTGAAGTTTAATGAATAAGACCCACAGTGTGGTATGCACTCTTATCTCTGAGCTCATTTCCTGACGATAGTGACATCTAGTGTGGGAACTTTCCTGTTTTGATTTTATATATATATTTTTGTTCATTTACAGTACATGGGACTTATACGTACTGTCCATACAGTAAGTACATTTCTTTCTTTAATTATGTTTTGACCTGATTGATACATACGATGTAAACCTGGTTTTATTTACTGGACCTTAGATCAGCTCTATGTTCCAAATCTGAGCTCTGATTTATTTATCCAATATTTGGGCTATGAGTTTTATTTAATCACAGTATTACTGATGGTGTTAGTATTTTACTGTGTCATCCTGTCTAGCATTGTATATGTGGATGTAAAATATCTCTCTTTGTTATCTATTTATTATTAATTGTTCACTATGTTGCACTGTAAATATCATTAAATAATATTTTATGTATTGTTTTGATTTATACCACGTGTAAAAAGGTTTTATTGGCAAATTAATATTGTTGTTGGTGGTTTTCCAATGTCCTTTTGAAGAACAAACAAACAAACACAAACGAGCTTGTCACACATACTTCTAAATGACTTTCAAGTTGAGTAATGTTAAACATTTCAGAGCCCTTAGTTCTGCACGGGTTAAACATTATGAATGCTACTCTGTAATACATAATGTCAGATTGTACTATGTATCACAGAACAGCAAATAGGAGCTCATTGATAGGTTACATGGCAAATGTTTATGTTACAAACTCATGTTTAACCCTTTAAGGACACAACTTCTGGAACAAAAGGGAATCGTGACGGAATATTTCCTTCATGTGTCCTTAAGGGGTTAATTGATAAAGTTTGCTTACTAACCAGATTTATTCAAAGACCTTATAAACGTTAATATTTTGCCATAGACTGAGCCCTATGTGTGGGTACAGAGGTCTCAATCTTCTCCTGTCATCCTATATTTTGTTTGTTTTTACGCCATAGTCTGTTTACCTCAGAACCTATATACAATCTAGGTATGTATACAGCTTGTGGTGAGGAAGGGAAGAAGAAATGGGAGGGTGGGAATGAGGAGGAAGTTTAAAAGGAAACTCCTGGCAACATACAGGATTTAGGCATTTTGTGGGTTAAGCCTCAGTTAGCCTTGTGTGTTTATTTGGTGAATGAAGTGCATGTATTTTTAATTCATTTCATGATTAGGAGTACTTGTATAAATGATTTGCACATCCTATCAATCCTTGCTGAGCAGAGAGTTATGGGGGATGCATATGTAATCAAACTGAATAAAGAGAGCCTATTAACAACATGAGAAAACTCCACATCAAGGACTCTACAATCTGAAGGTTTGCAGCAAACACAAGGTGAGCATCTCTTTATTTTATATGATTCAAAAACATTTTTTTGCTTATTTATGTATTGTGTATGTGATGGATTAAGAAAAGAAGATGGAGCCAAGTCTTTAGATCCATGAAGTTAATGTGATGTGTTTTACCTGTGTGAAGAAATAGGTATAATGTAATGTTCATGTACAATGCAGAGAGTTTGACAGTAAAATGGTGTTTCACTAGCAGCCAGTGTACTTTATGTTCTTTATAATTATTCTCACTTCTGGCTGCTGTGTTCTGTATTGCAGTGAGCAAGACAAGTAATGAACTTTCCGCATTCTATAGATTTTCTGCTCAAATTCCTCAGAGCTTGAAGAATAGTGCCACGATCTCTTTACTCTCTCCAGCATGCCCACGTGGTGCTGTACCCAAAGCCAACTTCTCTTGCAGCATGTTAGGCATGTCCCACGCCGGACGCTGGAATCACGCCCATTTTATTGACGCAATCCATACGTGCCAACGTCATAACGTCGATGACGGGGTCCCGCATCATCTGTACTGGCCCAGAACATTTTGGAGGCATGGCATTAAAGCAAAAGACGCTCCCTTATAAAAAGGGCCCCTTTTGCTTTGTTCATTGCCCTTTTGTGGTTCCTTTTGTACCCTATATTACTACTTAATATTCTCTGTGACTACTAGGTTTATTTTGTCGTTTGACTCGGTTTGGCTTTTGACTCTTCTGTTCTCCGGTCCCCTGACTCGGCTTGTATCTTGACTTTTCTCCTTTCTGGTATCCTGACCCGGCTATTCCTGTATTGCTCTACTGATCTCTTGTATCCAAACTTTTGGCTTTTCTACCTACGTTAAACCCGACCATTCTAAGGTTCGGTAATACGTTTTTAGGTTTTCTGTGGGTTTACATACTGCGTGTTGGGTTTTTATGCAACCGTGGTATTTAGCTATTCTGTATGGGTACTTTCGGTGGCCTTGAATTAGACTTTTCTGTGCACTATTATTAAATGATTTTCTTTCTTTTTTTTTGCTTGGAAACCCATTCCTCTTCTATGTATTAAAACAAACGTATTCAATCGCATTTCAAATATTCCCTTAGATATCATTGTATTAAACTACCTAAGAGTTTAAATTGCTTTTGAATTCTTTATCCCCTAGTCCTCCGGTTTTTGAGAAGCTCAGTTGCCCATCTGGTCTGTTTACTACAAACTTAAAAATAAGAAAACCAGATATTTATGACATGTATCTTTAGTAAAAGAGTGCCAAAAACTTGTGATTTTGTCAACAGTGATATAGTCTTCAGCTCTTTTCACATTTCTCTTTTGTACTACTGAATGATTTTGACAAAAATGTCAGATAGCAGTGGGATGGCAATTTAAAGTTTAACCTATACAATCTACTTATAATATCCCAATAGTATTATTAATTAATCATACACCCTCCTTCTCTGTCAATTACATCACTGTAGTGATTATGGTGCCTTGAGTGCCCTTGCACCCCCCCATTGTAAGTAGTCAAACCATTTTAGAAAGGTTTAACTTTTTACCTGGGTTCACAGGCCTCCATTTCTTCAGACAGTAGTTGCAATCTAAGACTTAACTCTGCGGTTCCCAAACTAGTCCTAATGCCTCTCCTACCAGTCCAGGATACATAGATTACTCAGTTTTGTCCAATGTGTTTTCTTTGTTTGTTTTTTCTAAAAACACCTTTGACATAACTGGGTAATCACTAAATCCTGGATTGGAAGTGGGTCATGACCCACTGGCTTAACTCATTGGCAGAGAGCAATCAGCTGACGCTCTCAGCCCTTACCCATGAGCCATGGAAAATATGACATTGCATCTGGCCAATTATTTAAGCTGTCAGATGAAGCTCCATGTACAAGCGTCCATCTCTTACCTACGGTATATTGTAAATGTTTATTTATACCTTACCTCCATTGCTTTCAGATCTACAGTTAAATTAGTTTTTTTCCCAAATGTTCATCACTGAATTGTAAGTTGAGAGGTAATTGTTACATGTCCTTTCTAGTATACCACTAAAATGTTTTGTACAAATTGTGGTCAAAATAAATAACTATAAAATGCATTTAATTTAATTTTGTATACCATTCTAGCTTCTGCTTTGGTTATGCCATGGTTGGATCTGTGTAGTACTTTTCAGACCCTTTTGGTGCTTTGAAATTTTTTTTTTTAACCACTTAAGGACCTTATGATGGTCTATGCCGTCTTGAAGTGCAGGGCTTCAACGCTCATTGATGGCATAGACCATCATGCAGTAAAAATACCATCAGGGTTAAATCATTGGATACCTGCGGGTCACCTCTGTTAGCTGTTGCCACAATTAGTGGTCTCAGAATGACGATGAGTGATACGTGCAGAGCTCTATAGATCCTTCTAAGCACCTCAGCTGAGTGATCGCGCTGAGAGTATTTCTGAATGTACCCCAGGCTGCCAGCAGTTAAAAATAGGGAGCGCCAAGTATGTTTTGATACTTGAGGGGCCCCTCTGCCAGCTGGGGCCACATTTAGTGGTTACAGACTGACAGATAAGCTGTGTGCAGCTCTCTAAGTGAGCTCTGTGCATGGCCCTTGAGCAATCGCACTTAGTGGGGGTGATTTTAAATTACCCCAGTATCATGGAGACCCCAGAGACTGAAAAAGACCATAGCGAGGTCTTCCTGCATGTCCCTGAGCTCTGTGATTGGTGCTGAACTTTGTTAGCTGCCCAGCAATGATCACAGCTCCTGGAGCTTTAATATCAGAAGGAGCTCTGACAGAGTCCTCTGTGCTGTGTGCTGGTACATGCCTCTGCTGGTGTCAGTACTGATGTCAGCAGAGGGAATCCATCTGAGGCAGGATTAGGGGCAGCATTGTTATTGAGGTCAGGAGCAGAATACAAAGGTGGGATGTTTGCATTAGTGTGAAAAAAAAACACAATTTAATATTTTGACCTAGATTTGCAGTAAAATGGTTAAATTGATAAATGCTCTCAGTTACATAGTTGGGGATGTTGTTTCTACAAATATGTACTTTTGTGTAACTTTTTTAGTATTTTTTTCCATTTCTTTAAATATATTATTCCTATTTAATATTGTGTTCTGTATACATATGAGAAATGGGGCTTTCTTTTGATACCCTATGTGTAAATGAGATCCTCAGTTCTTTATGGAAAAATATATATGGGCCAACATTTTAAACCACAAAAAACATGATATATATATAAATATATTTCTTGTGGATCTCATTTATTTGTATATTTCATAAAAAAGGTTTAGGCAGTTGAACTATAAGGTGGCAAACATCTTGTGTGTATATTACATTCAAATCATTTCTGTATGATGAAGAAATGTATTCATGGAATATATAAATAGCCATTATTTTAGAAGATTCTGATTTATCAAGCAGAAGGAATAATCACTCATATGTTTAATGTCTAGGCTGGTGGATTGTGGGGGCTCCTGTCCTGTGTCTCTGGAGACCTTTGTTACATTCGGTGAGATCGCACACTCCCATATTAATACATCATCATCAGAATTTGCCAAGAGGATATATATCGTTGGTTTAAAAGTGGGAATGACTCATTTAGGAATAATCGCTGCCAAATCGACAACAATTTAGAAGGCGTTTAAATCTCAAAATGGACTGGAAGGTAAGAAACGTACAAATACCTCTTCTGTTCTTGTTTACTGAACTGTATTCATGTCTTCAATGTTTTCATAAATCAAAACAATGTGTGAGAATTAATACATTCTGATTGGATTAAGGCATTTCCGTAGCGAGATTTATGTTTTGAGCCCTGAATGGTATTTTCTCTAAGTGTAATTTCTGGGCTCAAGATTTTAACTTTTACTGAGGATTTTGTTTTCCTTACACCGATATACGTTTTTTCAGATGTGGGTATATTTAGATTTTACTGTAGTAAGGTTAGTTAGACTCATGCAATTATGTCACAAACTTTCATTGCCTATACTGTGAAAATGTTTATTATTTTACATGAATTTTATATACAAACACAAAACATACTAAACGTTGTGGTGTAGTGACAAGAACCAACTTATGTTCTTAGAAAAATGTCGGTTATAATAACCAGGCTGAATAATGTCTCCAGTTTAGCAGAATCTTCCATTTCTGTTATTTTGGTGGTAATTTGGGAGTTGGTTCTCAGATCAAATACAATTTACTGTTCGGTGAATAATCAATAGAAAGATTATATAAATATGTATCAGACCTTATAAGGTACAGTTAAAGTAAATAGAAAAATCCAGAAAGGGCATTAGCGTAACAAAGTCTTAATCTGTTCTTTAAATGGTCTTATACCATGTGGATGCTCGATGTGGAGATCAAATATTATACAGAATACATCAGGAGACATTGCACTCACAATGAACAACAAAAGAGATTTTAGATCAGAAAGTAAAAAAAATAAGAATTCAATCACAGAGGCATTGTCATAAAGTATTTATCAGAATCCCAACACTTAATTCAATCTCTTTTTCATGTATGTATTCTGTGTAATATTTGATCCATTTACCAAGCACCAGGTAAAAATTTAAATATATCTATATATCCCTCTGGATGGTATTTTTTTTTTTTTTGTCTGTGTGTATTCCTTATTCTCGGATCCTCCTGGAATTCTGAAGGTTCTGCCCGGTATGTTAGCTCTTCCTAGAACAGCTCTCTTTAGGACAGAGATCCTACCTGGATTTTGCTATGTGCATATATAAGTAATCCAATATATATAGTTATTTATACTAACTGTTGTCATAATCTGTTTATCTCAAGTGGGCCTTTGAAAAATGTCTACCTTGGGTAAAGTAGTTTTTGAGAAGTTTCCCCTATTATTCCAAAATTCCCAGGATGAGATGCAGAGGAGCACAAACAGACACCTATGTTATTATTAGCAATTATTCACTGTTCTTAACACAGCTTTTAAACCAAATTATGGGGTGTGATCTGAAAGGACCAATGACCAGACACCAACCATGGACTGTACAGTTTTAACCTTTTGGGTCTCGTCATTAAAATGTTGGTTATGATCTTTAAAGTCTGCCAGCATATAGCTAAGTATCCTAATAAGATAAAACACATTTTTCTTTTGTTTCTGACATACATACCTGAAGTAGAACTTTGGAATAAGTCTGAAAATGTTACTGATCACATTTAGTGTTAAAACTCTCTCTCTGTGTCTGTCTATCTATATTGTATAGGATAGCTCAGTAAAAGAAGAAATCCATGTGTATTCAGAAATAGTAAGATTGTGAGATGATAAAAAGAGGAAAAAGTCAACAGAGCAATAACAACAGAATTTCTAATAGTATATTTGTTAAAAAGAAGAAATAACGACTTTAAAAAAGCAGGGCTAGTAGGCAGCTCCAATTTCACTATTAAGGCAATAGGGGGTTTTTTTGTCCAAATTTTTGCACATCAAGTTCTCAAGACATCACAGCTAGTGAAATGATCTCTACATGCTTCCGATCATTTTGTTGACTGGTTTTCAGCAAACCTGATCCCAGGTACTGGGCTCACGCTGTAAAATGTTACAGTTTTTTATTTTTTTTTTATAATTTCTTTTTTTTAGATTACTTTTATATTTAATTTAATGATTTTAATTTATGTTTATGTGCGGACACAATTTACATAATCTGTCAATTACATTACTGATTATAATCTCTTACGCAGTGTTTGTATTTGTATGCTGCTAGTGTTAGTATGGAGCGAGAAAGAAATGAGTTATTATTTAGGCTGCAACAAAATTTACTCACAATCTGAATATATTTCTAACTTGTACAGGAATCTAAGCAGGTATCATTGCATTACAAATATTATATATTTTATTAAATTCTTTTAGCAATGTGATGCGTTAGTCATTTTATATTTTTGTATGCTAGAATTTTAACAATATATATTTTTAAATATTAAAAATAATAATACTAAACTATTTAACAACAAAAAGTACATAAAGTACATGTATGTAGTCATTTTTGCTAGTTTCCTGGTGTGGAGATGTTATATAATTTAGCTATTTCCTGTCCTTTGTGTTTTACAACCCACCTCCTATAGACTGTAAACTAATTTAAGCAGGGTCCTCTTCATCCTATCGTTCCTGTAAGATTTCTTGTAATTGTCCTATTTATAGTTAAATCCCCCCCCACCCCCTAATAATATTGTAAAACCTACGGAATCTGTTGGCGCTATAGAATAGGCAATAATCATAATACTACTACTACTAATAATAATAATAATATAGTCCAGCTTAATGGTACTCATTTATTGACCTCAGAAAGACAAAAGACTGAACTGACCTTACAGGAATTAGACCTGTCAATCTGAGATACTGCGGCTGGAGCTATATCCACTGAAATGTCTCACCAGACAATAGTTACTACTGTTAAATCCAAGAGATTAATAAGTAAGTGTTGTTTTAATTTCCATATTTTTAAATTGAAGTACAATTAATTATGTAAATATGTATTTAAAGGGTTCTATAGTGTTAGGAATACAAAGCTGTATTCCTAACACTATAGTGCACCCTGGTTCCCCCTTCCCTCTTGCCATCTAGCATAGAAAGGTTTAAAAACCTTTAATCAAATTCCCAATTCCAGCGCTGATGTACCTTGGCTCTGGGTCGGCATGAGTATGTCCAGCATCGTTTATGGGACTCCCTTAGAATCCCGAAAGCACCTCTAGTCGCTGTCTAATAGAAAGCCACTGGAGGCAGTCTTAGTCCTGCTAAGTAATCATTGCTCTCCAAAACTCTCTCAAAAACTGCAATGTTTTACATTGCAGCACTAAGTGCGATAGGGACACTGTACCCAAACCACTTCAATGAGCTGAAGTGGTCTGGGTGCCAATAGTGCCCTTTTAAATAAAAAACAAGTATATACAATGTAAACGTATCCAGTGATTTATAAATATTATATTTGAAGGTAACTATAATATTTTAAACAATCGGAATTCAATGTTAACCTCTGGAAAAATGAGCTTTGATCTAAATCCCAATCGACAATCAGCTGGATTAACATGGGAAACTAAAAAAGATGTTTAAGTTATTTCATTTTTTTTTTTAAATCATTATCTTTACAAAAACTTGGATGTATTTGCTATGATAAATGATTTCTTATTTTTTCATCTACAACTAGATTTGAACAGATAGCACATCAATAAGCAGAAGACTTTTCAGACATTTCCTGACAACAGCAGAGGAAAGTAACCCTTGTGCTGCCAAATAGTTTTAGTGTTTCAACTGGGTAGAATGGGAAATATAAAAACCCATTTTCTTTCTAATAGGAAATAGAGTAATTAGGGCAGTTACATGTTTATAAAACACATCAGGTTCTTGTACAAATACACGCAGGGTTTGTTCGCTAGAGTTGCCAACAGTCTTCTAAAACTTGTGTCAAAATAAACAAGTTTAAAAAAAAAAAAAAAACATGACTAGAGCAGGCTTCCCCAAATTCCGGTCTCCAGATGTTGCTGAACTACAATTCCCATGATTCTATGAATGAAATAGGCTGAGAATCATGGGAGTTGTAGTTCAGCAACATCTGGCAGGCCGGAGTTTGGGGAAGCCTGGTCTAGAGTATACACCCCTCAATATTAGGTTTCGACTGCCAATATTGGATGCATTAAATCCCAAGTAGTTATTTCGCAGTCTTGTGAGTGGAGGGGGCAGAGGCTTCGCAGACCTCCACTTTCAGTCAAACCCCTTGAACAATGTTTGACCCAGAACTGGGAAATAATAGAATAATATTAGAATAATTGCATTATAACTACTAACCTGAATAGTACTTACCTTGATTCTGACTTATCTAGAGAAACAGACTAACTATATGTTTTTGTACAGAAATATTACTTGATCTTTTTTTTAGTAGACCAATGAATATATACCAGCCGGGCACCGTAAGAACCTATAATACATGTCATGACCTGCTTGAAATTAGTGGGAGACAGTTACTCTCCTTGGCAGCAGCTGCTGGTATTAATTTATTTCCTGGTATGCCAGGAGGGAGCTAAGGAAATGCCTCTCCCAGCATATCTCTAAATAGAGAAGGGCTGAACTAAAACATTTATCACAAATAGCAGCTCCTGCCCAGGAGTGAAATTTGCACCAATATCGGAATTTCCTGCTGCTGCCCTAACACTGAAGGAACATTTTCCAAAAATAAACTAGGTCTGACCATTCTTGTCTACGGGCATGTGGCAGCTGAAACCATAGGCTTAAAATTCATGAAATGGATCAAGTTATTGTGAGGTCACCTCCACCAACTTTTTCAGAAGTTTTAGATCACTATGATCCTGAAATTAAGAAAAGCATTTCATTTTTGCTTACGGGAAAATTTCTACATTTACTGTGTAGGTCTCATTACTGGATTTTCATTTCAGCGATATAAACATGATTGAGGACTGTTTACTTCAATTCCTGGTCAATGACCTTTCACTAGCATTTAGGAAATGCTGTCAACTGTTTTGTTTATAAATTTAGAAAAAGATTTATTTATTTTTTTGTTAAATTAGTTACTAATGGAGAACAATTTAAGAATAAAAACACAAAATGCCAACATTTATATGCAAATTGTTACATACATACTCTACAATACTGTAAACCTTTAAAAATTACATTTTTGTGATATAATTACTACTGGACAGATTTGGAGAAGTAAAATAAATTTGTCTTCTCAAATATATTCTATAACCTCCTTTTTCCCCCAATAAAGAAAATTCAAACATTTAAGATCTTTCACCACAACAGCAATAATGGTATATAGATATAAAAAGTGCAATGCATCACAACAGTATATTCTTACAAAGCAAAAACCTCTATATGTTCGAATAAAAAAAAAAAATAGAGTTTTATTACAGCTTGAGTTTATTCACTCGAATCAGGATGTCAAATTGCCATGGGAAATCTAACATAGAGGTCAAAAGACCCAAATTGCCACAATGGAAGAAAATCATATCTATCTCAACTATTTCTCCAATTTTGTGATTTTGACTTACAATTAGCATTTTTCTTGTTGATTTCACACAGTTATCTGTACAATGAATTACTCACTTTTTTAAACATTTAAAAAGGCAGAACATGGGCAATTATAATGTACACAGATTATCTTCCATGACTGTCCCCTTAAATAATTGTAAATATATTCATATCTTCCATATAAGTTCCGGAATAGAAAAATATGTTTTTAGTGTAATTTGCCATTGTAGTTGTTTATATAACTACTACTTTGTATAAAAACTACTGGGTCTCCTTGGGATAGCTCATCTGGAGGTAAAAGGTACCGTGTCTATCTCATCACCCCCTCTTTCAATGAATAACCTGCTTTCTGTAAGATTTTATTTTTACTGTCTGACAGAACAAATAAGACAGGTGAGCCACACAAAAGCACCCTATAAATACTACATCTCATTGTAAGGTGTATGGTGCTAGGACTCCTTGAGTGTACTCCCATACCGTCCAACATTTAAAATGGACAAAGAGGGACATTTTTATTCTATAGGTGTGAATGGTGGTCACGGGCGGGGCTGTTCTGAGAAATTTTAGGTGACTTACTAGTAACAATGTAAGCAACTAAAATGTAATTTGGAACATGAACAATGTACCTAATTTACACTGACTGGTTTCCAAAAACATTTATTGTAATTAGGACACTATAGTCACCAGAACAACAAGCTTAATGTAGTGGTTTCATGTCTTTGCATGCTGTAGTAACAAAATGTAAACATTTCAGAGAAAAAGGCAGTGTTTGTGGCCTAGAAACACCTCTAGTGGCTGTCACTCACACAGCCACTAGAGGTGCTTCCTGGGATTGTCTGAAATGGTCTATTCTGATAATCTCAACTAAGGACGCGAGCAGGGCAGAGTCAGCACCAGCAGACCCTCATTGCTTTGGACTAAAGGTACGCTTTAACCCTATTTAAAGAGAGCAACAATATTGGGTCAGTAATACATGTTTGTATTCCTGATTCTATAGTGTTCCTTTAAAGACACATTACTGGGAGTATTATTGTTGTTGTGGAGCTCTGTTATACACTCAGACACATTACTGGGAGTGTTATTGTTGTTGTGGAGCTCTGTTATACACTCAGACACATTACTGGGAGTGTTATTATTGCTGTGGAGCTCTGTTATACACTCAGACACATTACCGGGAGTATTATTGTTGTTGTGGAGCTCTGTTATACACTCAGATACACCAACAACATGGAGGTCCTAAAAAGGAGGGACATTAGGATAGAAAAGCTTAACAGAGGTATTTTGGCCCACCATAGGGGCTGTAACTTGTAAATCAGAAAACTTGTGAGGTATGCTACTTCCTCCAGTGTTTGCACATCGTCATTTTCTGTCCAGAGTTATATGGCAATAAAAGACTGGGGGCTGAGGTAAAATAGAAGAAAATAGATTGACACAAGCTGGTAGAATTGCATCTAAAGACTTGTTGCATGTTAACCACTGTAATAAAATGTACAGGTAAATGTGCGCAGATTGTCCCTTTAATCCATAATGTGAGCTGATTTGATAAACCATTATGAAAACATTTAACAAACACTTTTTTGTTATTTTATAACTGGCATTTATTAACCACCAGCAATTGGTCAAAAAATACAGTATACACAGACCGATACAAAAGACAAAGAGGGCCCTGTCAGTGAGCTGAGATCTGGCAATTGCCAGTCCTTTATACAAATACTTAGCTACAATAAGCCAATGAGCTTCGAATCTAGAGCAGGCATAGGCAACCTTCGGCATGCCAGATGTTTTGGACTACACCTACCATGATGCTTTGCCAGCATTATGGGTATAAGAGCCAGGGCTGCCATCAAGGTGTGACATCGGTGGCCCACGTACTTAAAGTCACTCGATGGGCTCTATGTCTTCAGGGGCCCGGTCAGCGTTGTGGCCGTAAAATAGCGCGACCGTGCCCCTTTTAAAAAATTGCAGCTGCACCACAAGTGCTGCTGGGAGGAAGTGATGGCTGAGCAGAGACAGCATGGAGGCCTCAAAGTGGGAGACCCACGCCGACTTCCATCAGCCCCAGCCACTCTCCTGCAAGGAAAAGGTAAGAAACAGGAGGGTGGCTGAAAAATTAGATGTGTATGTCAGTATGCTTGTATGTCAGAATGTATGTCTGTCTGTATGTATGTATGTCAGTATGTTTATCTGTATGTCAGCATGCATATCAGCATGAATGAATGAATGTATGTATGTATGTCTGTATGTATGTCTGTGTGTCAGCATGTATGTCTGTAAGTCAGTATGTATATCTGTATGTCAGTATGAATGTATGTCTGTATGTATGTCTGTGTCAGCATGTATGTATGTATGCATGTCTGTATGTGTGTGTGTATGTGTCTGTATGTATGTCAGTATGTATGTGTGTGTCTGTGTCTGTATGTGTTAGTATGTGTATGTCTGTGTATCTGTATATTTGTGTATGTCTCAGTATTTGTGTGTCAGTATATATGCATATATGTGTGTATGTGTGTCTGTTTCAGTATGTGTGTCTGTTAGTATGTATGTGTGTCAGAATGTGTGTATCTTTGTCTGTGTGTATCTGTGTCCTTTTGTATCAGTGCGTATGTTTGTGTCTGTGTGTATTCCTATGGGCAGGATTCGTAGGTGATCCCTGTGGGCAGGCTTGGAGGCAGGCCCACGGGGGCCAGACCCTGAGCTGAGTTAGGCGGCCCTGGTAAGAGCATTATGGGGGATGTAGTCCTCAACATCTGGAGTGCCGAAGGTTGCCTACCCCTGATCTAGAGGTTCAAATGGGGAGTTGAGGAAAAAGTTAGCAGGGGGGATTTGGAAGTGAAGGAATTAAATGATAATTGCAGCCACTGGTAAGATGTGAAGGGAATGTGAAGGTAATTGAGTGTACCTGAAGAAGGAAACAGGGTGGGTGGTTAGTGCTTAGTGGAAATTAAGTTTCTCTATTTTATGTTTTTTAATTGTTCTGTCTCTTGCTGGTTTTGTGGATTAAAGGTTTCTGGACAGGAGTGGAGAGACAAAGTAAGGTAAACTTTTAAGCTCAAAGAAGCAAGTAAAGGAGAAATAGAGGGGTGGGTAAAGAAAACATTTATTGTATACAAAGTTTAAGTGCAAACCTGGTGATAACTGTGAAAAGTTCTATAGAACACAGTGTAATCACAAATAAACCCCCCCAAAAATCTGAGACCGAGCACACAATAAACGATCTGATAAAATATTACCATACAAAACAACCTAAAATCAAGCATAAAAATAGCTCATGGTAGAGCATATCACAAGTAGTCATTAAAGTATAACGTATAAATTGTGTCTTCTTGTAGTAATTCGGCTGATAAACGTCACCAGCTCGAATAATAACCTCCCTCCTCTCCGACATGGATCAGGAAGCAAGAAAACTTTATAAAAGAAATTAACACTTTAATCAGACACAATAAAATATTAATATAAAATATAAGATACACCTAAAAAGTAAAGGCAGAGAAAAAATTCATAGGGCAACACTATATAATGAAATGTGGCCCCTTGGTGATAATAATACACTCACAGGATGTACGAATATTAAGAGCCCAGCAAGGTTCCTTTAAATGCTCAGCTACAGACGTCCTCAATGTCCCAGGGTACATGTCAAAAGGAAAAAACTGAACATAGTACAGTAATGTTTAAAATGTAAAACAACACTTTAATTAGACACACTTACAAGAAGTAAAAGATAAAAATGCCCATCAATAAGTCTCTATGTCCCTCTGTTTCACCTGGATAGGAGACCGGAATAAGCTGTGATACAGAGCTCAACGCGTTTCGTCTCTTAATAGAGACTTCCTCAGGAGAAAATAAAATAAAATACAATCGTAACAGCAGAAGTAAAACATTACCAAATATCAAAGTCCAAAGTTCCTTTTGAAGGTCCTCTCATCGTTCATTCCACCAATCAGGGGCGCTGAGGTCACCTGTCCGTAGTTTCTTCATTAGCTTTTGCCATATAAGGACTTCCGTTTTTCTTCGTGGAACGCACATGCGTTCCACCTATCGGCGGTTCACGATGACGTCATTGGTCCGCGCGTGGAACGCACATGCGTTCCATTTCGTCACTTCAGTTCAACGGAGAAAATCTCAAAACACAAGCATTGGATGTATTAGGCAAAGTTACACCAAGTTATCAATAAGATACACTTTAACACTCCATATTTATAAAATAGGTCAAATATACATTAGATATATATTGTGGAGCACTTCTCACAGAGGGAAATGATTAAGGGTATCACAAGCTATATAAGTAATCATTCAAAAAATAAATGAATAAATGAAAGAAAAAAAAATAATGATGGAAAAAAAATAATAATGATAATAATGTTGTTAATGTACAATAAAATATTAGTAATAAAAGCATGAAGTCCATGCACACCACGTTTTTAACCCAATTGGTCGTCTTCAAAGTGAAAGAAACTCCCACATCATCCTTTTTAGATAGAGTCCTTCCAGTAATTGCGGTGTCTTCATCTTTGATTTTCCTGTAATATACTGGACATTCCATCTGCTTTATCATGTCTGAACGTCCGGACGTCATCGATATGATGTTATCATTGTGATCCGGTGTGGGTGCCATATCAAATCTAGTTCCTGATAGTATTGTTAATTTTACTTATGGGTAAACATCCTTTTTGCATATATGTTAACGGTTTGGTTTACCCATTATTCCTTAGTACATAATCTGAAGATTAAAAATGATTCAACATCCTTTAAATTTATCAAATACCTCATTAACACCCATATCAACAGTTGCAGGAGAGTAATCAGGGTGTGGGGAGAGAAAGATGTTCACAGTTTAATTAATGTGCTTTCCTAAAGAAGTACGTTTTCAAAGATTTTTTGGAAGCAGTGGAGATTGGGTAAGAGTCTAACAGAGGTGGGAAGGGCGTTCCATAGGAATGGTGCAGCCCTAGAGAAGTCTTTAAGGTGAGCATCAGAGGTAGGAGTACGAACAGAGGTTAGACGTAGGTCTCCGGCAGAGCCTACGGGCCTAGATGGGACATATTTGTGTATTAGTGAGGATAGGTAGGTTGGCGCAGCATTGTGTAGAGATTTGTAAGCAAGTATCAGGATCTTATATTGAGTCCCAAATCTTATGGGAAGCCAATGTTGTGACTAACAGAGGGGAGGTGTGGGAGGTGCTGGTGGACAGGATGATGAGCCTCACTGCTGCATTCATTGTAAGCTGTAACGGGGCAAATTGGGAACACATAAGACCAGTGAGAAGCAGATTACAGTAGTCAAGGCGAGAGAGGACAGCAGCATGGACGAGCACCTTTGCCGTGTTAAGTGTTAAAGAGGGTCGGACGCAAACTATGTTTTTGAGATGGAAGCGGTATGATTTGGCAATTGATTGGACATGAGGGGTGAAGGAGAAGTCAGAAAACACCGAGGCAGTGAGCCTGCAAGGTAGAGCAGATAGTAGCGCCATTGACCTGGAGGGAAACAGACAAGGGAGTAGCAACACTTGAGGGATGGAAGACCAGAAGTTCTGTTTTGGACAGGTTCAGTTTAAGGAAATGAGCAGCCATCCAGTTGGAAATAGCAGAGAGTCAGTCAGAGACACGAGTCAAGAGGGGTGGTGAGAAATCAGGGGAGGACACATACATTTGCGTGTCATCAACATAGAAATGATACTGGAAGCCGAATGAGCAGATGAGTTTACCTAGTGAGGCAGTATATATTGAGAACAGTAGGGGACCAAGGACATACTCTCGGGAACACCAACAAGGAGGGATTGGGGAGAAGAGGAAGAGCCAAAGAAAGAAACCCTGAAAGAGCCCTGGGAGAGTTAAGAAGAGCACCAGGAGAGAGCGTCTCTAATCAGTAGCTATTAGGAAAAACTAATGCATGCTAAATTGTAATTTTTCTTAATCATTTGTTTTCTGAGTATGATAAAATGTTAGTGTTCAGATTTGTATGTATTTTTTTCTCACCACCTTGTTATTTCAGGTAAAAGAAGAATATCTCTTAATCCTCTGCGTGTTTGCTTCTGTCTGCATGATATCAAACGCACATGGTAAGAAATTGGAACAATGCAAATATTGTAATTTTTATAATGATTTTGTTTAAGTATATAGGATGTTAATCTTTGTACTTCCTTTTCATTTCTATAGAAATTCTAAAATATCCATAGGTATTCCAGCAGCCAATCCGCTTCTTGGTAAGGAAGGGAGGAGAAGGGATGGTGCAAAAGGCCAGGGAGAGAGAAAAACAGGGAGACACAGATGGGAGACACAAAGACTGCCAGCCAGCCTCTCAAACAGACAATGCAGAAATGCTGTAGGAGTCCCATCAAATACTGGTCCTAGTGCCCATTCCAGTCCTGCTGGCAGATTTCAAAATGTAGGACTGGTCGCCGGGACCTCTATTTGCTGGGATAGTAACCCAAAATGCAGGGCTGTCCTGGTAAATTCTGTAGTGTTGGCACCTCTGAAATGCCACTATTTTTTTTTTTAGCGTTACTATTTATGTTACTCACTAACTAGCCAGGTGGGAGGTCAACTGGATCTAAGATACTAAAATCTAAAAAACTTTGTACTTGGTTCTGGTACATAAGAGATGTACTTCTAGTATGGGAGAGTGATATGACCTCTTTTCATCATTGGATCTATATTCTAAATGAGAATGACATTGGATTGAAACTAACTTCACTCACTCTTTTTAGATCTAGAAATGTGTATCAATGACCAATATAGACTGATGACCAAATTATAACATAAGGGCATGGCTACAAATCGCTTCCTAAACTGGAAAAGTCATCATCCCCTTGCATTTAGAAGGGGTATTCCATGTGGCCAGTATCTTTATGCATGTAGAAATTGGAGCAGAGATGAAGATTTTTTTCAGCATCTATTCTGAAATATATTTTTTTCTTGAAAAAGGCTATACAAGGAGAATATTAAAAGGGGCAATATGCAATAGAGATGGTGTGGTGATGTGGTGTAAGGAAAAACAACACTAAAGTGGATGTAGCATTGTACAAACAGTACTCCACAGATAAATAAAACGGCAAATGTTAAATAGCTCACAATAAATAGAAGATATGTGAGTCTTCCTATCGTACTGGTGTTACAAATATCAGCAATGGATGGTAGAGAAGTACAATCTTGATATCCTTTTGATAGCTTAAGACATGAAAACAACATACTGTACGTAGTGTAAACCCATTAAACAACCAGATTAAGTTTAAACATATTGCACTTACTAACATACATGACACAGAATGTGGCAGTGAAAGCCCAAAACAGGGACCAAAGTTCGAATTCAGTGGGAAGCTGTCTCCAACAGTAGAATAACATATACCAAAAACACAACAAAAAAGTGTAGTGAAAACCTCCAATATCACCCACACAATGGTTAACCGTGTAAACACTGTTACAGTAATAGATGCAATATGCAAGAGAGATAGTGTGGTGAATACGTGAAGCATTAGGGGTATGTTGCATAGCCACTGCAATACAGGGTCAATACTTACTTCAGACTGTTGAGTGTGACAGTACATTCTACCATGACAGCCAGACGGCCTTCTAATCTTTCAGATCTTTCGGTCAATAGTCAACTGTCTCTCCAACAACAACCTGGCTGAAACCACTCAGAGGAGTTTACAGATGTGACAAGTGTAAGGCTTGCCAATGTATCAAACTAACAAACCGAGTAGCAAGTAGAATGGGCAAAAAGTCAAGATCATATTTATCATTTGCTCTTCCACATTTAGTGCGTTTTTAATTACCTGATCGTGCCATCTCTATTACATTGGGAAAATGTTTCAATAATTCCATCATCGGATCTTGCAGCATGTGAACTTGGTGTTGACAGGACTAGAACCCCCTGTTTCCTATCACGTATGTCTTTTCCATGATGGGAATCCATCCCACCTATCTTTTCAAATAAATTTACTTTCACCGAAAATTGTTACATTGTGAATCCCACTGGATTTATGAATTCTAAACTAGGCTAAACGAGGAATTTAATTACACTACCTCAATTATACAATCTATTCTAGGCATTCCCTACATTGTATATTCAAATATATCTTGGCGTAACCTTCAATAACTAACTAAGGCCTCACCTTAATATTGTTGAAATTATTTAACATTTCTGCATAAACTTTTTATATACATTACATATACAAAATATATCAAAATGCCAAAAATATCCAATTATAACAAAGATAAAATAGTTTTAATAATATTGAATCATTTTTAAAGTTTATTCAAAAATGTGTAACCATTTGGAGAATGCATTCAACAATATCAAATTGAGGCTTAAATTCCTTTTTAATTTGAAATTATTTTTAACTCTTTTGTAGAAAAATATTCTTTGCCTTAGTTTGTAGCAATGTATTTGCAGTTATAATTATATTTCACTTTATTAATAGGTTTCCCCCCTCTCTCCAAGTTGTTAATACCAGTTCCCTTATGGTCCATGAAGTGCAGGTTTGATGGCACCGTAGTTGTACAAAATTACTTTAACTACTTACTTTCTTTTGGATGACGGTCCATTATCTGGCTACATAGTGACTACTAGTGATTTTTTTTTGAGACCAGTACATTTTTAATAAGAATCGAGCAGTTTAAACTAACATGGTAAATGCAGAAAGCTGACACATTTTTTGTGATTGTTCTCCAAAGTGGAACTTTTTAAGTATTTTAAATAAAAGTTAACTTTTACTATTATCCGCTATCCCCTTTATACCCATTTAATGGTGCAGTTATAATTGTATTTTATTGCATGTCACTGTATGGGTTTTACATTCTTTTTTTCACGCTTTACTTTTCAATAAAGCAGACTTATATTTTAATTTGCAGTTGATGTGCTAACCGAAAATCCCAAGCCAGTGAAAGTGGGTGAAAAGGTAACCTTAACATGCACGCTGCAAAAAAAGGATTATAAAGCTAGACTAGTAACATGGAAAAGGACTATAAAAGACAAAGATGTCACTTTGGGCACTTTCTCTGCTGTGAATAGAGAAATGATTGTAAATCAGTATAAAGACATTTTGAGTATCACCACTCCAGGCCTTTATAGCACGGCCATCACAATATGGAAAGCCACACTCGGTGATGAAGGAAATTACAAATGCATTTTCAGTGTCGTTGGAATTCCATCATTAGAGAAAAACATCTTTCTTTATGTGTACGGTAAGAAATGTTCCTTTTTTAAAAACTTACTTTATGTAGGATTTCCTAAAGAGTTACGTAAAGCACTTCTCACATCAGTATTACATTAATTGGGAATGAATGTTTGTTTGTTTTTTTTTACAATATAATTTGATCTTGATTTTCTGAGTCCCCTGACAATAAAACCAGTGCAAATGCAGTGCATATTCCTCCAGCCAAGGTGGCAACTTATTTATGTGGTAGAACAAAAACAGAGAGACACAGAGAACCAGAAAGACAGATGACAAGAGACATCATAAATTACAAATATAGAATTGTTTTGTTTCTAGAACCCCCTCTATGCCATTACGTTTTCCTTATGCATGTTTCACTGTTGTCTATTTTTAAAGTTTGGTGTATTTTTTTTTTTAATAATAGCAACAAGACATCTATTGCTTCCCAGTCACTAATAAAATAAAGCGAAACCTGACACTGGGGGCTCAACATAATTAGGCATGAAAAAGTAATTGTTCAGCCCTTGCTCCTTTCAGTGGCAGGTATGGACTGTAATATGATAAACAGAGGGACATAGGGTTCCTTCAGCCCCCTGTTGATGGGTGGAATATAAATAATCATGGAGGGGGAGCATCCTCCAGCCCCCACCGATGGGTGGCACATGAGGGATATTTTAACATTAATAAGAAGATAGACATGTTATTATCCATCCCCTTACAATAAAGGTTGGACATGCCATTTTCCACCCCCAAAAGTTAAGCCCACTATATAGCCCCCCTGGGAGGCTAGGAGTCCCCAAGCTCCTAGCAATCCTCCGACAATTAAAAAAAAAAATTCTGCATACCTACCTCACTGTAATAATTGTGAGGTGGACTACTTAAATAAACTACTTGTAAAATAAAATGTAATACTTGACATCAGTCTTCTTTCTTCTTAAATCATTTTTCAGCCCCACTAACAGCTAAATAAATATCTGTTAATTTCCGATGCTACTATTAACCCCCCCCCCCCCAAAAAAAAACCTAATAAGCAAAAAACAAAACAAAACCACGCATAAACATTAATCCATCTTCACCCATGGAAAGCTATGCTCCATATGCTAATCAATCAGAGTGCTCACACAAGTCTCACTTTTCATTAACATCACACTCCTTTTGAACCTTTCTAGCAATCCTCCATTACACTAATGTGAGTATCGTATTGACCTCCATACAGCACTGTATTTTCCGCAAGGCTAACAGGGCATTTGCCATGGATGGCACTTTCCAGAGTGGGCGGCAAAAAACACCACCCCAAATGCCTCAGCAGATGTCTTGTTAGTTTAGTGTCATCGGGGGCCCAAGAGCTGGCTGCTTGGCCACCTTATGGCCCCCGGCCAAGTTGGGGCGGCCATGTGTATTGCAGGTGGGCGGCGAGGGAGATCTGATCTCTGTGCTCTTATTGCTCCCTTGCTCACTGCTGGATTGGGCCTGCTTGCCTGCTTGAACTCCAAGACAGGATCTGCACTGGACCCAAGTGAAAAAAAAATCCACTCCATCTCTCCCAAAGGTAGGGAGGCTGAGTGAACTTAAATGAAAATAAAAAAATATTTGTAAGTGTCTGAGAAAATGTGAGTGTGTGTCTATTAGTGAGAGTGTGTGTCTGTCAGTAAATGTGTGTATGTCAGTGAGTGTGTGCATCTCTTGTCTGTCAGTGAATGTGTCTGTCCATGAATGTGTGTGTCTGTCAGTGAATGTGTGTAACTGAGTAAGTGTTTGGCTATCAATGTCTGACTGCCAATGAATGTGTGTGTGTCTGTCAGTGTCTATCTGTCAGTGAGTGCATGTGTCTATCAGTGAATGTATATGTGTCTGTGAGTGTGTGTTTGTCAATGAGTATGTGTCTGAGTGAGTAAGTGTCTGTCTGTCAGTGAATGTATGTGTGTATGTCTGAGTGAGTGGCTATCAGTGAGTGTGTTTGTGTGTGTGTCTGTCAGTGTGTCTAATCAGTGAGGATGTGTGTGTATTTTAGTGTGTGTGTCATAGTGTGTCTGTCAGTGTATATCAGTGTATGTGTATCTGAGAGTGCTGGCCTGTCAGTGAGTGGGTGTTTCAGTAAGCGTGTGTCAGTGTGGGCGTGTGATGGTCAATCAAAGTGCGTGCAGGTTTTAAGCAGGAAAAGGTGCTGCCTTAAAAGGATGGGGTAAGGCAAATTCAGATTAGAGGGACAGCACAAAACTAAAATACACCACTGCCCCATAAGATTTTTCTAACTTGCAAAAAGCATCTATCAACAACTTGTCAAATCTGATGAAGCATTTTTTTTGAAACGGCATTAAACCAACTCACTCAATATTTTTAATTTAATGTTTAGGTATCCGCTTTAGTTTTCAACAGTTGTAAGATTGTGATAAGCCTTTAACGGCAGTAATTGAATCGATCTGAACCATTAAATGACTTGTAAGAGAGCTGATAGACTGACAGTTACGGTGCCCGGTTCCAATTAAATGGAGGTCATAGATAGATGCACACATACATAGATGTAAAGGTTTGTTTGTAATGTAGGGATGGAGTGAAAATACCCATAAAAATAGGAAACAGGTTTGATGGTAAAACAGTGCCTTTTTAATTTGTAATATATTTTTTTTCTGTCATAGACAGGCTACTCCAAATTCTGTTTCATTAATATCTGTTAAAATCCTGGAGCCACAGACGGGTTTGATATCAGCAGACATATTGTTGTAACACAGAGTATTTATTTTATGTTATAGAGCCTGTGAAAGGATCACTAACAAAATACAACGAAACATCTAACTCCTTCACGGTTACGTGTGTCACATCTAGTTGGCCTGTTGCAGAAGTATCTTGGTTTGGAGTGGGAACGAATAATAAAAATGGAACCCACATGGAGACAACAAACGGAACAGCAACTCTTACAAAATGGATAGTTCTGGACGCTAAAAGCAAAAGTGAATTAACCGAAAAACTAGAGTGCAGAGTCCATCATATGGGGAATAATACCATATTTAAACTACCACGTAAGTCCTTCGCTGTTTGTCTCACTGTATTAAATTGATGTAAAAAGTCTATCACAGTGATAACTTCTCTTTTAGATACCACCTGTCCCCCACACCAGTCACCTGTTGTTCTCAACATATCACAGGCATGCCCCCACCAGTCCCAGTTCCTCACTATATTGCTGTATTGCTTTCATTAATTCGATACTTCAAGTTTGTTAACTTGACCAAAAAATGCAGATGCAAGAAATGATATAGACTGAGTTAGCTTGATATTTCAGCTTCCCATGGGTCTTTTATCAGTTGGTATTTCAGGTGGTATTTGGGGTATCGATCATTCTTGGATCCTTTGCCAGAGGCATGTGAGTCTTAGACACTCTTCTGGACAGAGATCTCAGATGTTCCACCTGGAATCTGCTGAAGTCACTCTTCCAACTTGGGCTCCCATCACAACTAGAAACTACTTCTACCTTCACTTTCCACATCCTTTCTAGCTCCTCTTTCAGTCCGTGGTATTTTTCCACCTTCTCGTGTACCGTCTACTTGGTGTTATAGTTACTGGGTATTGCCACATCCACCACCACTGTGGTCATCTGTTTCTTGTCTACCACCATGATGTTGGGTTGGTTGGCCAGTGCGTGCTTGTCTATCTGGGTCTGGAAGTTCCACAGGATCTTAGCACTGTCATTTTCAACTACCCTTTCTCTTATTTCCCATCTAAATTTAAGCAGGTCCATCTAATATTCTGTGCAGATATTTTGTTATACAATCGCAGCATTTGTTTGTGCTTCTCAGTGTATGCTGTTCCTGCTAACACCTGGCTGCTGTGTTCTGGATTTTCTCTGAGGCCATTTAGTACAGAGTGCACCTTTGGTCTTGTCTGGAGTGGTAGACCCCCACTTATGTTGACTGTTCCTATGCTGCAAATATTACTGCCTTAGTGCTGTCTTACAGTGTGTGTATAAATATATACTTGTGTACTGTTACTTAAAGGACAAATGTCACTTATTTTAATATAATAATCCAGGTGTGAAAACAAAGTAGATTTTTTTGATAAACGAAGTGTATGTAAAACAACAAAAATAAACAAAATGAGGATACCTTATCCGTACCTTGACAGGATATAACAAGATTCTTCAGCCATGTATATGAACCTTGGGTCAGACAGGTTGACAGTTAGTCTCTATGGTCTGTGTTTCTGTGCAGGGAGGTAAGACCATAGAGACTAACTGTCAGTTTTCCAAAACTGCCTGACCCAAGATGCATGTATATGGCTAAATAATCCAGTCATATATTAAAGGTAGGAATGAGGGTTTTTTCTCTTTTTTTTTAACTTGAATTTTTTTTAAAAGAACCTATATACTCAATGTAAAGGATATACCCAACATGAAGAACGGTGTTATCCAAAAGGACAAGATGAAGGACAGTGATGTATTACCAGTCCTTAGAGTGGTTGGGCTTAATGCTGAGCTTTAAGAAAGTGAAATAGAATAGACAGATAACAAGCAGCGGTCAAAGAATACGAGAAACGAAGCCAAGTCAGGGATATCAGAAGACAGGAATTTCAAGAACAAGCCAATTCAATAAACATAATAAATCAAAAAGAATATAAATGCGTTATTGGGATAACAGGAAACCCACAACAAGATGTTGTGCTCCAGAGCATTAGCGGTGTTATAGATACTGACCCCTGTTTATTGCTTTGCATCATATTTGCATTTACAGAACATACTTGTGGATAGTCACCAGCATCATAAAAGCTTCCCCCAGTGTTACATTTATGACACATACATGCACTTGAATAGCAGGACGTGGTATGGCAGGGTCCTGCAGCAGAAATATTGCGAGAATGACACAAATATGGATACCCTGGTTTCTTGTTGTTTTTATTATACTGAATCTGTGACCAGTCAACCCCCATCCCTTCACACTGTGTGGGGAGGTATTTTACAGGGTGAGCACTCATGGTTAGTCTTGTCTCTCTGTGTTAATAAAATTAATAAATTGAGGTAAAACGAATCAATAGCCAGTTACCTACCTTGGTCGAAAAGCCATGAGGAGGAGACACAGATCCACAGGGAGACACAGATAGTGTAGGCACTTACCACAACACTACAAGCAGAAGCTCTGAATATTTGGGTGTCGTTTGTGGTGGGGTCTAAATAACCCCATTTGTCACTATTTTAGTACATTTCATTGTATGAGTTTTATATCCTTTTTTTTTTTTTAATAATGCAGACCAATATTTTTATTTGCAGATGTGCTAGCTGAAAATCCCAAGCCAGTGAAAGTGGGTGAAAAGGTAACCTTAACATGCACGCTGCAAGCATCTGATTATAAAGCTAGACTAGTAACATGGAAAAGGACTATAAAAGACAAAGATGTCACTTTGGGCACTTTCTCTGCTGTGAATAGAGAAATGATTGTAAATCAGTATAAAGACATATTGAATATCACCACTCCAGGCCTTTATAGCACGGCCATCACAATATGGAAAGCCACAACCAGTGATGAAGGAAATTACAAATGCATTTTCAGTGTCGTTGGAATTCCATCATTAGAGAAACACATTGTTGTTTCTGTGTACGGTAAGAAATGTTCCTTTTCCAATCTTACTTTGTAGAGGATTTCCTAGAGAGATTATTATAGCACGTCTTACATCAGTATTACGTTCATGGTTGGAAGGATTGGAAATAAATGCATTTTTTTTCCAGTCGAATTCTATCTTGACATTCGTAGCCGTAGTACAATAAAACCATGACTTGTGTGAAAAAACAGAAACTCAGAGAACCAGAGATATCTTAAATGACAAATGTTTACTTATTAACTGTTTCTTTCTAGAACCCCTTCTATTACAATATTTTCTGTTTCACAGTTATGTATTTTTTATATGTGATTTCAATCGTTAAAAAGTTTTGTCCCATTAGATACATATTTAGATATTTAAACCCTCTTAAATAACTGGAACCACAACTTGATTTTACATTCAAAGACATCTTCATGTAACAGATTTATGTTTCTAGTTTGGCAGACGAGATGGGCCGAATGGTTTTTATCTGCCGTCACATTCTATGTTTCTATGTTTTAATTTTTTTATTTAATTTTTTTAATTACAGAGCCTGTGAAGGGATCGCTAACGAAATACAATGAAACAACTGAATCCTTCATGGCTATGTGTGTTACATCTAGTTGGCCTGTTGCGGAAGTATCTTGGTTTGGAGTGGGAATGAACAATAAAAATGGCACTCACGTGGAGACAATAAATGGAACAGCAACTCTTACAAACTGGATAGTTCTGGACACTAAAAACAAAGGAAAACTGGAGTGCAGAGTCCATCATATGGGGAATAGTAACACATTTAAACTACCACGTAAGTCCTTTACTATATGGTTCACGCTTTTGTCTTCAGTTGTTAATTAATATCTAAGAAACATTCTTTCTATGAAAATATCTCAACTATATCACTATATAGAACTTGGTGTGAACATAAGGGATTTTATTATCTTCGTAGGAGTTGGATATTTTTCTTTCCACCTTGACTATATATTACACAGTCAGTTTATCCTCTCCACCATGTCTTCAGAACAATTTGGTGGTGTTTGTAGTCCTATACCGTGTAACAGGATCTATAAAGACCAGATTATTTCTGAAACCACTTCTCGCTTGTATAGTGTTTACTTTTATTTTGTTTGCATGTTTTGCTGTGAGAGGCCTCTTGAAGGGCTTCGCTTTAATCTAAGACAGGCAACTCTGATGTGGACTCTGTTAGCCTGCTACTGCCAGTTCCGGGTATTTATTCCCTATAGCTAGTCATTTTTTTTAAGCTGTTCTGTTGCTACTTATTACTGCTAATGCAAATAATAGGCAGCAATATTGAGATCAAATAAAAAATGTCTTCTCTTCCTTATATTTTCCAACGTGTGGATATAAAATGCATGCAGCAACATACAACATACAGGGTTTGTGGGTCCCAATGTAGCAGTCTATGTGTTTCGCACTTCAGCTCTGGTTAAATGACTGGTTAAAGTGCTTATGGACAAAACACGTAGACTACGGCTACATTGGTAATCCGCAAACCTGGTATGATGTATGTTACTACATGTGCCACACGTGGAATAATAAAGGAAGAATATAATTTAGTATTTTGTCTTAATATTGCTGAATGTTATTTGTATTCACTGATATAATTTGAGTGGTTGGACCACTGCGTTTTCAGCAATTGTGAGATATAGGATATTCTGTTAAACTGACTGGGCAACTGCAGGACAACTGCCTCATTTATTTAAGCATTACCCATTACTGCAGTCTCAAACAGGGATCATAGTGACCCATTTATTGTACTCTGATGGGAACAAATCTGTTTTTTTTGTACAATGTGTTTTTGTAAAATCTTAACTTATATATCTGATAACCAAACCCGAAATGTACTTACCTCTTGGTGGCTTCAGGGTACACATGATACCAGGGCTTATCCAACAATATTAAAAAGAAGCTTCTATTGGGTGAGGACCAAGGATACATGTGTGAATCAAAATCAAAATGCAAAATTTTGCACAGACATACATAGGTTTCAAATATTCTTCAAAATATTAAAGCACTTTAAAGGTTGATTAAAAACTATTGAATCATTTAATTACAAGAGATGAAAATTTCCCCCATCACATGTCATACATGTTAAAGTATTTATTTACTGTAAATATTAGTAGTATGTCCCAGACCTGTCATAATAATACAATCAGTAATTGCGCTTTCTGTTTTAATTAGCTCCTGTAACCGGCCTCCAGCCAACCATTATTTTATTAATAAGTGGTATGACATTGGTGATTATCGGGATTCTGGCAGCTGTGTTTTGTCGTTCTAAGAGAAAGAGTTCTTCGGAGCGAATAAGTCATTAAAGTTCAGTATTCTTTTAACAGGGTAAGACTAATTGGAGTTTGTACACAGATTATTGTGGGGCTAGGAGAAAGTAATAATTAAATAAATAATAAAAAATAGATTAATGTGCCTTTGCCATCCAAAGTAAAAACAAGAAAATGTTTGGGGTATAAGGGGAGGCAAAGAGATGAACCCTGCCACTTCATTCTATAATGGCACCCTCGGTTCCTCACTTGTAAAGTAGCAAGGAAACTGATGGTAACTGTGGCAGGAATTATTCATGACTGTACCATGACACATTACATTCATGGATGCACATGTAGATGGTTATATTTAAAGGAACGCTATAGGGTCAGGAAAACAAACATGTATTCCTGACTTCCTGACCCTATAGTGTTAAAAACACTCTCTATCCTCACTGACCTCCCCTGTGCCCCTAAATATAGTAAAGTGTTACCTTTATTCCAGTCTGTTGGGGCTGGCTCTGCCCTTGATCTGCCTTCTTGGCTGACATCATCAGAAGTGATGATCTCAGTCAATCACAAGGTTTTCCCATAGGAATTTTCATAGGAATTCTGATGAGGTGGGCCGGTCGGGGTCAAATGCCATCCTGACCAATCAGCATCTAATCATAGAGATGCATTAAATCAATGAATCTCTGTGAGGAAAGTTCAGTGTCTCCATGCAGAGGGTGGAGACACTTAATGTACAGGAAGCACCGCTAGATGGAAAGACATCGAGACTCACTGGTCTCTCATATATATTAAACAGCAAAAGTAGCAGTAGTAGATGCATGAGTATGACGTATCTGCTTGTTGTACTTAATAATGGTGACCTCACTTTGATACTGTTGGATACGCTTTTCAAAAAGGTTTTAACATTTTGGGATAAAGTTTAAAAATGATTTCATTTTGTGATGAATAGTTTAAATTTTTTAAATTTAATGTTGAAAATATAATTTTAAAAGTGTATCCAAAAATATTAAGTAGTTTGTTAAGGTTATCCAATAAAATAAAAGTACTGAGTGATATATTACCAATATAATCTGGTTAAATATCCATTTCTTTTAATTGAGTAGATATGGTGTGTTTTATAAGATCTGCAACATATGTGTAAATGTGCACAGTTTCTTTGAAATAATGTTAATAGTTTTTGAATATTTTGTCTTTCCAGTCCCTTCTCGGAGTATTCGTCTTCATCCATGCTTCTGCTTTGAGATCTTTTTGGGCTTACTCATTTACTTCTGATTCGAGTTCTTGTATCTACTCTTCTGTATCTGTGCTTCTGACTGGAGTCCTTGCTGGAGCTACCTGTCTATCAGGAGGCATATAGTTGGAGTTCTTCTTTGGCTAAGATAAGGAGCTATGCAAAGTCTTGGTTTTGTACTCAACTACTACGGAGTGCCTCGTGTTTTCTTTTTTTGTTACACATTCTGTTAGCTGGATTGTACCAGCTTTATCCAAAGCATAAGCTTTGTTTTTACTTCTAAATACATCTAACAAGCCTTTACCAAGAGCTCCCAAGATAATTTTAAAGAGCACTATAAATATAATAATTTCTGATTGTGTATCTACAAATCTGTAAAGTCAAGAGGACTTACATTCTACTGATCCACTACTACCAGCCGTGATGATGTCTGCATGCCATCCCCTCTTGAATTAGGTCAAGATTTCCACTAATTCCAGGAGGACATGGTAATGAAACACGTGAATGAAACACACACATATAAATTTTGATTCAACATTACAACTTGGAGTGGCATTTTCAGGACAGACTGGTCAATGGGCTGACTATTGGAGTCCTATCGACTCTCTAGTAGATTTGGAGCACTATAAATATATTATATGGCAGTACTACTGATCTCCTGCTAATGGCAGTTATGTTTCAAGTTATCGAATATTCTACAATTGTGTCAAGAATCTACTGTATTTATTTTGTCAGTTTTTGATTGTGTTAAATAAAGACAAACATCTGTAATGAGAGGCTTTACTATGTCTGATAAAATATAGCTCTTTGGCTGATATGTCACATCTGTTGATTGCTCTCTTTATATTCTTGAAAGAGCCTTTCAACGCCTCGGATATTTTAATGTTTTATTAGTCACATTAACTTTAGCAATTTGAAAACTGTTACTGGCCATTATTTGAAGTTGGACACCAATATTAAGTGATTTCAATTTTATTTGTACACAAGTTTCCAAGCTTTATATAAGTTACCGAACATTATAAAAAGAGATATTATTTTATATTTGTATAATTTTACGTTTGTGTTTTTTTTTTGTTGTCTTTGTATTTGAATATTTGTTTTTATAAAGCTGTTCTTTTCTCATAAGAAATCCCTACATCATTCAGATATCCTGGAATGAAAAATGGAAACTATGAGATTAAAAATAACAAGTTAACATATTTGAAGGTTTGATGTAATGGGAAAAATATCTTAAAGGTCACATTTTACATTAGTAACGATGGGACGGTTTTTGTGTGATAAGTGTGATAGCATCTGTGAGAAAGTGGCAGTTAATGTGGAAAAGAACATAGACAAAATTAAATTTCAAAGGGATTTAAGGCTTCAGAAATTATCACAATCTGTTAGAAAAAGTCCTCAAACGACTTACCGACAGAAGTCAGCATTAAAGTCAATTGGGATTTTTATAGCTAGGAAAAGTTTCCAAATTATTATTATTATTATTATCTACAAACGTCACAAGTAAAGTGTACGGTAATTTTTTTGTACATAAAAAAAAAAAAAAACTTTTCGAATGATGAATCTACAGAAATCAACTTTCAAGTCTATGGGAAATATTGAAGATAAAACATTTGAAAGGTTCTTCTAACAGATTGTCATAATTTGTGATGCTGATCCAAACGAATTAAACTAATTAGTCAAACAAGAAGCAAAGTCAGTTTCGAAAATCCTAAAGGAGCTGTTATTACACTTATCATTATATATGTAACTTTATACAAGTAGAGATTGTAGCCGTATTAGTCCAGTGATGTAGATGTAAAAAACAGATAAAATTCTTATCTTGTAATACCTTTTTTATTGGACTAACAGAATTTTTTAATGACAAGCTTTCGGGAGAACCTCCCTTTCTCAAATCTGAAGCATTTCTATGTGTCGTTTTGCTCAGAAATGCTTCAGACTTGAGAAAGGGAGGTTCTCCCGAAAGCTTGTCATTAAAAAATTCTGTTAGTCCAATAAAAAAGGTATTACAAGATAAGAATTTTATCTGTTTTTTACATCTAACTTTATACAGTGAGATAAGGTATTTGGGAGACCGTCACTTACACATCTGGTTTTCTTTAGTTTTGTTTGTTTTGCTGTTTTGTTGGTGCAGTAAAAGAACTGTGTTTTTTTTTAACTGTGGATCTAATTGCTCTCCCCCGCAAAAAATCAGCAGCATTGGTTATAAATATAAAATGAGTATGAGTTAATTAGAACAAGGCACAATGGGGCGTGAGGCCAGTATGGCATTTTTGAACACATGCTGTGGTTGGCCAGAATCTTCAGAAATCATGTGTACACCAGAAGGATTATCATACCTTTTGTGGGATCAAAGAAGTCTGAAAGTACAGGATTTATTTTGACAGTTTTGTACCATAGGTAGTAAGATTCTTTGAGAATGGTATTACGATGAAGCATTGCCATTATGGGAGAGGGCTGTCTCAGAGATGGATTTTCTTGAGATAAGAATACAATAAGAATGCTTTTGTCATGAGGTCCAGTAGGGCTATGAGAATGACGATGAAGTAAAGTGGTGCATGGAGAATGGTTTTGCCATTAGGTATAGGAGTACAGTATAGAGCAGACCTGCACAACATACGGCCCCACGGGCTGCTTGCTGCCCCACCAAAGGATTTTTGAGCTTGCACACTAATGGGGCCCATCGGGTGGCCCATGCCTTAGACCCCTTGCTTATCGGTAGCCTGGAAGGATGTGACAGCCTGTTACTTCATCCCAGAGAGATATTTATCCGCACGGGAGGGGGGAGACAGTTCGGAGGGGGTTTGGGCCGGGGGAGACAGGAAGACAGAGGAGAAGGCTGGAGAGGAGGGGGCACAGGCTAACTCTCAACAGCCTCAGCCTGGATACAGGGAAAGCCACCCTCCAGCACCCAAAAGATAGGAAACTGGAAGGTGGCTATAGCAGTGTATATGTTGACCTGGATGTGTGTCTGTATGCCTGTCAGTGTGTGTCTGTTTGTGTATCTGTATAGCTGTCAGTGTGTGTGTCTGTGTGTGTATCAGTATGTCTGTCAGTGTGTGTGTGTGCAACTATGTCTGTCAGCATGTGTCTGTATGTCTGTCAGTGTGTCAGTTTATCTGTCAGTATGTCTGTGTGTGTGTGTGTGTGTCTGCATGCCTGTCAGTGTGTGAAATAATACAAAACAGAATAGGGATCCAGTTCATATCTCTAAATGTAAACATAAAATGCAACATGGTGTAATACAGTTTAGCCTTAAAAATCAAGGCAAGAAAAAGAATGTAGCAATTTAAATAATCGAAAAATTAATTAATCACCTTTTGGATTTAGCATGGAGACGGACTGACTTAATTAGGAGGCGGACTTTTCGGATTAGTTTGATATATAGATATCTATAAAAAAAAATTCATACACAATAAATTAATCTGTTTTAGTAATGGTATGTATACACTCACAAACAAAGAGCTATAGACCCCGCTCTGGTTTGAATCGCCTCTGGGTCCGTTTGTGGATCTTGTTCCGTGAGAGAGATGAAAAAATACCAACGATTGCACAGTATTACAAGTAATATTTCTAATATAGAATAAATATCCCAAGTGGGTACTCACAAATCTGGAGTCATACAATAATGACTCAATTCTTAAGCGTTGTGCAGATTAGGGACTGCACTCCCTTCTGTGCTGGATAAGAATGCTGGGAAGGATCGATAAATACAAATTCCACAATGTATTAACAAACTTTAAAAGTAACAAAATAAAAAAGCATAAATATGCCAAATCCAGAACGCGTTTCGCCACTAATATCGTGGCTTCTTCAGCCGGGTAAATCAGTCTGATATCTTAAGGTTCCCTGTTCTTGTATATATACCGTAGAGAAAGGCGGGCAGGGAGTTTGTGCAGGTGTTCCGTCACTCGCCGGTACCACACACAGGTACGGCGTGTGCGGTCCATGCCTCCTTCTCATGCCTGCCAGGGTCGCCATCAGTCGGTGACAACCATGATGGTTGTCACAGGCCCAGCGGTCCTGGGGGGCCCGGACTGCTCTGGCAGTCCCGGGCCCCACTTTCCCTCTCTGCACATACAGATACCGAATATCGCTATCTATGTGTGAAGCCTCGGGCCCCCCAGCTCCCTGTTACCGCAGAGGGGGCCTAGCACACTGCCTAGACACTTCTCCTCTTCTCTCTTCTCGTGAGACTCTCGCGAGACCCGCGGCCTTCTGAGCATTGCCACGGGTTACCATGGCAACGCTCCGCGCGGCACGCAGGCCGCAGGTCTCGCGAGAGTTATTGGAAGAGAGGAGAAGAGGCAGTGTGCTGGGCCCCCTCTGCGGTAACAGGGAGATGGGGCCCCCCGTGCCATCGGACCACCAGGGATGGAATCTCCCCCCTCCATGGACACAGGTAAGAAGCAGGGAGGGGGGAACAGCATTTAATTAATTTAATATAAAATTACTGTGAAAATGCCCCTTGCTCCCCCCCCCAGATTGCACATTTACACACAGTGCATACACTAATACAACACACACACTGCATACACTAACACAACACATACTGCATACACTAATACAACACACACACACTGCATACACTAATACAACACACACTGCATACACTGATACAACACACACACTGCATACACTGATACAACACACACACTGCATACACTAACACAACACACATACTGCATACACTAATACAACACACTGCATACACTAACACAACACACACTCTGCATACACTAATACAACACACTGCATACACTAACACAACGCACACTCTGCATACACTAACACAACACACACTCTGCATTCACTACACACTAACACACTCACTGCATCCACTACACATTAACACACTCTGCATTCGCTACACATTAACACACTCTGCATTCAGTACACTAACACACACTCTGCATCCGCTACACACTAACACACTCTCTGCATTCACTACACTGACACACTCTGCATTCACTACACACTAACACACACTCTGCATGCATTACACACTAACACACACTCTGCATTCACTAAACTATACACACACTCTGCATTCACTACACTAACATACACTCTGCATTAACTGTACACACAGCATCCACTACACAAACATCCACCACAAATTGAAACACTCTGCATTCACTATACACAGACACTGCGTCTGATACACACACTACATCCACTACAGACACTCCATCCATTAAACACATTTATTCTAGTACACACAAACATTACATCCACTACACAAACACACACTACATCACTGTACACACACTACATCCACTACTCAAACACACTCTGCGTTCACTATACACACTGTATCCGCTACACAAACACACACTCTGCATTCACTGCACAAACAGTATCTAATACACACAAACACTACATCCATTACACACATTCTAATTCACTTCCACTATACACACCACATTCAGTCCTGCATCATTGTCAGAGGACCAGGTAGGGCGTGGGCGGGCCCGGGGGAGAGAGGGAGAGTGGGGGAGGGAAGCACAGTCCACCTCCTAATTAAGTCAGTCCGTCTCCATGCTAAACCAAAAAGGTGATTAATTAATTTTTTGATAATTAAAACGTTACATTCTTTTTCTTGTCTTGTATTTTGTATTGGTGATATTGTAAAGGATCACTTGAATGTATAGCAGCTAATAAGACTGCTCTTATCAAAGTGACTAATGACCTAATCTCCGCTAAATCCAAAGGTCACTACTCCATATTAATTCTCCTTGACCTCTCTGCTGCCTTTGACACCGTTGATCATGCTCTCCTCCTTCAAACTCTTCAATCGCTCGGTCTCTGTGACTCTGTCCTCTCTTGGTTTTCCTCCTATCTCTCCCAACGCTCATTCAGTGTCTCCTTTTCCAAGGATACCTCCTCCCCTCGTCCTGTCTCGGTTGGAGTTCCCCAAGGGTCTGTCCTTGGTCCCCTCCTATTTTCTCTTTATACTGCCTCTCTAGGTAAACTTATTGCCTCTTTTGGATTCCACTACCACCTGTATGCTGATGACACTCAGATATACCTCTCCTCCCCAGACCTCTCCCCTGCCGTCCTGCAACGTGTCACTGCTTGCCTTTCTTCCATCTCTGACTGGATGTCCTCACGCTTTCTGAAACTTAACCTCTCTAAAACTGAACTCCTTGTCTTTCCTCCTCCTAATACTGATCCTCCTCTCTCGCTCTCCCTTCAACTCAGTGATATCCACATAAGTCCATCCCTGCAAGCGCGCTGTCTTGGCGTCATACTTGACTCTGGTCTCACCTTTGAGCCTCACATCCAGTTTGTTGCCAAGTCCTGTAGGTTCCAACTCAGAAACATAGCCCGCATTCGCCCCTTTCTTAAGCAAGATGCTACCAAGAAGCTTGTCCATGCTCTAGTAATTTCCCGCATGGATTACTGTAACCCTCTCCTGATTGGTCTCCCCAAAAGCCGTATTGCCCCGCTACAGTCTGTCATGAATGCTGCAGCTAGACTGATCTTCCTCTCTAGTCGGTCCTCTCACACCTCACCCCTCTGCCAGTCCTTACATTGGCTCCCTGTATGCTATAGGAGTCAATTCAAAGTGCTAACCCACACATTTAAAGCACTGAACAATTCTAGCCCCGCTTATATCTCTTCACTAATCCATAGATATGCCCCTCCTCGTACCCTCCGCTCTGCCCGTGACCACCTCCTGACCGCTGCTCGCACCCGTACGGCCAACTCGCGCTTGCAGGACCTCTCGCGGGTGGCTCCTCTCCTATGGAATAGCTTGCCTACTGCCATCAGACTCTCCCCTAGTCTTCAATCATTTAAGAAGGGCCTTAAAACCCATCTCTTCAGGAAAGCTTATGGCCTCCCAGAGTAATCTCTACCTTACATACCTGTCTCCTGCTCTCTCCTATGGGACAGTGCTTTGCTCTCTCCTCCAGCTCTGCTTCACTCCTACTTGATATTTCTTGTCCTAATGTTTCTAATACCCCCACCTCCTATAGTCTGTAAGCTCGTTTGAGCAGGGTCCCCTTCAACCTATTGTTCCTGTAAGTTTTCTTGTAATTGTCCTATTTATTGTTACATCCCCCCTCTCAAAATATTGTAAAGCGCTACGGAATCTGTTGGCGCTATATAAATGATAATAATAATAATAAGAAGAATTATATTGTGTATTCACATATTGAAATTTTAAAGGAATAAGCGCTGGTTCCTACCCACACGTTTTTGCACTAGCCTTAAAAATCGCTTGACACTTTAAGGTTGCACTCACAGATTGATGGTATATGATAAGCCTCCAGGGTGCCTCCCCTATGATCAGGGGGGTATCTCCTCGACAATTCTGATATCAGGAAGTCCACACGCTCCCATTGGTTGAATGTAAAAACCTAATATATTGGCATAAAATATACTAAATAATGATAAAACAAAACAGAAAAGGTCCTACGCGTTTCATTTCCCTTGGGAAACTTCCTCAGGGACCAGAAAAATTTAAATATATTATAAAACAAATGCAATCAAATACACTTCAAACAAAACTTGACCAGTGTAAAAAATGCCTCTGTCAGTGTGTGTATCTGTATTCCTGTCAGTGTGTGTATCTGTATGTCTGTGTGTATCTGTATGCCTGTCAGTGTGTGTCTGTGTGTGTGTCTGTATGTCTGTCAACGTGTGTAACTGCCTCTGTCAGTGTGTGTATCTGTATTCCTGTCAGTGTGTGTATCTATATGTCCTTCTGTACAGTTGCAAGAAAAAGTATGTGAACCCTTTGGAATTATATGGATTTCTGCACAAATTGGTCATAAAATGTGATCTGATCATCATCTAAGTCACAATAGACAATCACAGTCTATTGTTGTGACTTAGTCTGCAGAAACACACAAAGAATGAAATGTTGCCATGTTTTTATTGAACACACCATGTAAACATTCGCAGGTGGAAAAAGTATGTGAACCCTTGGATTTAATATCTGGTTGAACCTCCTTTGGCAGCAATAACTTCAACCAAATGTTTCCTGTAGTTGCAGATCAGACGTGCACAACGGTCAGGAGGAATTCTTGACCATTCCTCTTTACAGAACTTTTTCAGTTCATCAATATTCTTGGGATGTCTAGTGGTCAAGCCACAGCATCTCAATCGGTTTGAGGTCAGGACTCTGACTGGGCCACTTCAGAAGGCGTATTTTCTTCTGTTTAAGCCATTCTGTTGTTGATTTACTTCTATGCTTTGGGTCATTGTCCTGTTGCAACACCCATCGTCTGTTGAGCTTCAGCTGGTAGACAGATGGCCTTAAGTTCTCCTGCAAAATGTCTTGATATACTTGGGAATTCATTTTTCCTTCGATGATAGCAAACACAGATCATTTGTTGTCATATTAATGTACAAGGCATGAAATTAAAAAAATGCCAAATCAAATATTGATTAACATTTATTAAAATATTTTTAACCATTTCTTTTGACATTGCTTTCGTAACTGTTAAAAAAAAACCAATTAAATCTAAAACACAAGGTTAATGTAAAACAAATTGCCATGTGATTGGCCAAGACAGTTCAGCCAATCACATGACTTAAGCATTATAGAACTTTCCTAGCACCATAACAATAAATAAGCACTACTTATTGTAGTGCCAAGAGTGCCCTGTCACCTTAACAGAGTTATCCGTCTGACTTTTTTAGAATGGTTTAATATCCAAACTGGACATTTCTCCTGCTTGTATTCAGCCTGTGGTAAAGCAAAGTCTGCAAAGGAGAAAGCTCTCTCCAAGGATTTTTTTTAATAGATGCTAATTGAATAGGCAAATGAACATCAGTGACTTTGATGGAATTCATAAAAATTGAAGGTGATATTGCAGGTACTTCTCTTTTAATAGGAAAGCTTTTGGGAACACATACGGTTTAGCAGAGAGGTTAAATGGTACCTGTCATGACAAATACAACAATCTTAAATAATAGAAAATCAAATTTCATCTATACATTGTACCAGCAGAATTGCTAGCAACTGTCTAAATGTCTCTAAAATCAGAGGTTGAAAGACAGACCTTTCCCCCTCCTTTTATAGATAAGGTTGTGCTCTGTATGTCTGTTATCAATGAAACCCTTCTCTGGACATTTCTCCTGCTTGTATTCCGTCTATAGTAAAGCAAAGTCTGCAAAGGAGAAGTAGGGAGGAGGTGTGAGAGCAGCACCAGAAGCAGCATTGATAGAGGAAAAAAACAGCCATACTTGTAGCACCTCTGGGCAGGAAATCTGAAAATAAAGAGAGATAACATAAGTTTTATTTATACAAAGATGAAATAACAATGCAATGATTTGTGGACCCAGGACATACTTGAAAACAATATAAATCTCAATGTATCTTTCCCGGTAAAATATTTTATAAATAAAGTGTTGGAGACTTTTAACATGTTATGGAAAGCAAGTCTATACTTCACAAACAGGGAAGTGGTGTGTCTTACAGCAATTGTAATGCCCACTGAAATGTGATTGATAGTCTCAGAAGGAGACAGGGTAATGCCAATGATTGAAAATGTTAGCTTTTAAAAGTATTAAGGATAGAAACAATTGTATAACATGAGTAAAACCAAAGTGTTTGAAAATTCTAAACCAATACCTGCCATGACAGGTTCACTTTAACTTTGGTAAATAGACAGAAAGGGTCGAAAAGTTGATAATTTTTTTGACACTGAATTCCCTTTTTAAAATTACAAAGCAGCAGATATGTTTTATAGATTGAATTACCTGAAGGTCTTAGCATGCAAACTAAGTTAACTAATTCTTGTTATCAAGCCTCCCTGCATGATATTTATATTTATATAGGCAAGAGTTGGCCATCCACTGGAACATTATGGGTAATGTCTTAGAGTTGGGTAGTGCATGGCTACCATGAGTTAATTAAGTAAATATTTATTATTGTAAAATTTCTAATATGTATTGAGATGTTGAGTAAAAATTCAAAAAATGCTGTGTTCTCCAGCTCCTCTAAACAAGATGTCACTGAATGGAAGGAGCTGCAAGTCATTTATTAAGGAGGGCCCAATGAGATGTTCTACTGAGAAACTAGTTCATTCCGAGAATTGCGAATCATTAAGTGTAAATAAAATGACGGACAATATTCAGGAAAAAAATACATAAAAAAGGCCTGTAAGTTTATTCAAGCTTGATACACCACCATTTGTAACCTGAAACAAAGAAAATGCAATTATTACAAACTAGCACTTATATCAGTTCCCCAAAGGACACTTGTAACACTGATGTTTCCTGAAAACCACACCATAATCACTGGTAGATGGCTCTTAGCATTTTCCAGTGCCTTCTGTATCCTTTGTAAACATCTCTTCCTTCCGTGGAATGTCTGCAGGCGTTTGCAATAAGTAGAGAGAGGATGGCAACGGAAATTGTGTGCTGCATTGTTTATTAACAACATAAAAAAATAGAACCGTTTGCTGCCCTTTGGTACAGAAAGCAACATACACAACACACCATAACAGCATAGCAGTATATGAGGACTCTGCCAAGTGCTAAGGGAATCAACACAGTAAAGGAGGAGACTATATTTAAAAGAATAACAACTACCACAACAAGAGGACATAGCCTTAAATTAGAGGGACAAAGGTTTAAAAATAATATCTGGAGGTATTACTTTACTGAGAGGGTAGTGGATGCAGAGAACAGCCTCCCAGTTGAAGTGGTAGAGGTTAACACAGTTAGGGAGTTTAAGCATGCGTGGGATAGGCATAAGTCTATCTTAGACTTAAGATAAGGCCAGGGACCAATTAAAAGTATTTAAAACTATTGGGCTGACACAATCTGTTTCTATGTTTCTTGTGTGAATTGTTAGCTCCATGGGGTAGAGATTTCTTACCCTGAGAAAGAGGCACAAATGAGTTCCTAGACTGGATTTACATTTGATAATTCTGCGCCTACAGGCACCTAAGACCAACTATCCCTAAAAAAACAAAAATAGGTCTCCGTGTTTCCATATTTGGAGGATAGTGAGTAACAGTATTTATATATCCACACAAATAATTATTATATAGCAAAATGAAAAAAGTATAGCAATGTATAAATAAATATAGAAAATGCACATTTGTTGTCAGTGTAGGGTCCCTATAATAGACTGATGTCTCTGGGCAGCGACCTACTTTGTCTGATGGCAAATCCAGCTGTTGTGAGCACAAAATGTTTGTGTAAATGTTTTCTACATGATACCTAAAGCTTGATCTGTTTTTTATAAAATATTAAATGCTCCTGGCTAACACTTGGGGGGGAAATGACATCACTTCACACCTGCAGATAGTTGTTTTTGCTTTTTATGCTACATTCTTGAGTTTAAGCTTAAGAATAGATTTACTACTTGCCTAGCAGATTTCGGTTTCCGCCAAGATTGCTTAGGCGTCACTTTAGATCAGAGAATGCGGGTTAATTGGGAGGTGGCTCTTTACATGTAAGGAGACCTGCTTGTCGGGAATATAACGATTGTAAGCCTCAAGGTTCTCTAAGCTGGGCTTGAGGCAATGATATCTCCATATTTATAGTTAATTTATTTAAATTTATTTTTTTAATTATGTAAATTGAACAGTCATTTTTCACCATCTGTAGGTATTACATCGACAAATGTACACATACTTTAACCAGGGCCAGTTTTATCAGTAGGTAAAGACTTAAAAAAATATGTAAATATCAGCATTAAACTCCACCGAGTGTTGGACTGTAACATTTCTGCTCAGACTTGCAATGCACACTATGCTATTTTATTTCACTCTGATAGTTTCCTAAATTCTAAACAATTCACTTCATTGCTCAACTTCCTTTTTCCTTAAAAACAGGAAGTTCGCTAATTCCACCCTCTGTCACTCTTTTGTGATTTTTGTTAGATTCTAGTATAATGGATTTTTTTTTTATAAAAAGCAATATGACTACATAGTTTACACTGTAGAAATATATATCTTATAGATCTGTAAATGTTCTAAAATAAAAAAACAGCTTAAAGGTACACTCCAGACCACTAAAGCACTTTAGCTTACAGAAAAGCTTGTGTGAAAAGTGTGTCCTCTTTATTTCATTTTGCAAAAAGTGTAGATTTCAATAGCAACTGACACCTTTTATAAAGTAACCTGGTAGCACCCCTTTGGTTTTCAAGCAGACAACAGGTCCTGTTACTTCCTGGTTGTTTAGCTCAGTTGAGTTAAACTCAAAAGGCAGCAATTGCCCAGAGCACCTGCCTTTCTAAGACTTCTCATTGGGCAGCATTGGGCAGTCTGTGATAGGACAGCTTCAAAAAGTCTGGGCGGGGTTAGAAGAGGAGGGCTTGCAAAGGCAGAACTGAAACTTTTTCAAGATATTTTTAGAAATATCTCAGTCAAAAAAATGCCTAATTATATCCATGCAAGTTTTCATTTGAGGTATATCTACTAAACGGTGATTTAAAAAATATATGTATTGTATTTGGGCAGTGGAGTGTCCCTTTAATAACACACCTGAATATTCTTTAGGGAATAAAAGAAGGAGTCACTGAATTTTGTGAGCAGAGGCAAAAACTCCACAAAGCAGGTATGTGTGCAGAGTCATCTATGGCCAACTGGACATGCAGAATGTAGGTAGTGATCAATGAGATCCAAAAGCAATCTGGTGCTCTGTTGGAGTTTATTTAAGTGGAAATTCTGGACAATGGAAAAGAGACTTGGACATTGAAGATCATAATAGCAAAGAGGAAAAAAAGCTAGAAATTGTTTAAATTCTCTATTTAAATGTGACCCAAAATGTCTAACAACCATGTATTTTATTTTAGTATCTCCAATTCTTCACAGTGAAGGAATTAGATCAACAAGGCTCTGCTGAGTTTTTTTTTTTAACTCAAATGATGATTATCATTTTATAAACCATTCATCATCTCACCATAACCCACAATTCAATAGATAAATGGCAAAGTATAAAATGCACAGTTCTAGCATTTG